GGGCAATGGCTTTCCCTCTTGCTGTTCACATGCAAAAAAATCATCTAGCTCTCTCATAATTCTTCATTCATTGCATAAAATGAACTACTCTGCAGGACCAGGCTCTTCAGCATATGTTTATTTTCTAGTCTGAGCTTTTAAAAAAAAAAAAAAGCCATCACATGGAGCTGTGCAATGAGCCACATCACAAAGCCAATACCCCAAGGACCAGCGAAACTTTCCTGTTCTGTGCTACAGGAAGGACAGGGAAATAAATGGGAGGTGGAGGAGAGTGAAGAGAACCCATTACACAAGAGCAAAGCAGGTGTGTGGCACTCCAATTCTGACAGATAAAGAGTACTTCTAAGCTGCAAAGAAATAAGTTTTAAAATAAACGCTCAAAGGTGGGAGGGTCTGAAATAAGTAAATCAGCACTATCATAGCCACTGAAACAGAAACCAGACATATTGCTGAATAAACCAAGCCAGCTAAAGGAAGATTCTATTTGAATCACTTGAATATTGTTAAAAGTGACTTGGTTTTCACATGGCCAAACCCAGCAAAGCTGAACAGCATAGGTTTACAGGGGGTCTGTAGCTTCTGTCCCTGCTATGGCTTTGCAGAGAGTTCAAATGCATCACAGAGTCTCCTGCCAAATCAAGGGAGAAACAGGAGGCCTACAAACACTGCTCCACCTCATCCGACTACTTCTCTTGCAGAACTTGCCCTTGTTTCTACTTCTGTGAGCTTCCATATGATAAAAATGTATTTTTAGCACACAGTTTCTGCAGGTCAGAGCTAGCTGGTGTCAGAGCCATATATAATGCACACATAAACCTCTGATGTGCCCAGTTTGGGTAATCCTAAACAGCGCCCCAGGAATCAGTCCAGAGGCAAATGGTTTTGCAGACCTGTTGTACAAGCATAGCCTTTAACAGAAAACCTGACTGGTTTTCCTGATGTGCTTGGAGGGCTTCCTACTACACAAGAGGGACCAGACTTTTCTGATATAGCCTCTGGTAATTACAATAACCTCCTTCAAGTTAAAATAACCTTCCATGAGCTGCAAAGCAAAGTCCAAATTGTCCCTTTGGCATGTAATAACAGGATCAATTCCTGACTTGAGTGCGAAAGGAGCAGCATTTTCCATGCTGACCACGCTCTATTGGCAGGGAGAGAGTCCCTTTTCTGAGCTCCATGGCCATAAGAACCCCACAGGGACTTTGCTCATGCTTTAACAGATATAACTGCAGGTTTAAGAGCCAACTACAAAACTGCTGCAAGCTGCTGAACCTACATAGGGAAGCCAGGAAGCCACACTACGGCAATCTATCCTTCAGAGCAAAGCAGTAGAAATAAGAAAGCACTTTCTTCTGGTCAACAGCTGGTTTTTTGCATGAGGAGACAACGTTTCCAAATCTTGTTTGTCCATAACATATTTAAAGTCATCTCATTTCTATTCATCCCTCAGTACTTCATACAAAGGAAGAGAGGGATTTTTCTTACCTTCTATGTGCCTGGGAGAAACGAAGGCCAGCCAGGCTGCAAGGATGATGCCCACCACCCAAACCTGTACCAAGAAATTACCCAGAGAGACAAAGCTCTTTACAGGACACCCTTGACTCAAGTGCTCCTCTACCTTCCTGTAAAATCCATTACTTGCAAGATGAGCTGGTGAACGCTGCTTAGCAGGGGATCAAACTCTGATCTTATGGGACTTAAACAGCTGCAGTGCTTCATTTGAGATGACAGGCAGGAAACAGGTCTACCTCCAAGCCCAGTCTGCTTCCAAACTGGAGGGTCAGTCTCCTTCCTGTACAACGCTGCTTTCATTTCCCAAGTTATATCACATTTTCCTCTTAGGTTCAGCAAAAGTGAGGTGAACAACAGGCAAAGCAAGGGTAACTGGACCTCCCTGGAGCATGCAATGTCTTAAAGCTTTGATATACAAAAATGAACATGGCACACAGCTACAAAAAATGTTTAGACACCTACAAAAGATCTGCCAAAATCATTTGGCTTGCCTAGATCTCTTATCCCAACTGTTTTGGTGGGGTTTTCTGTAGGGTTTTGTTTGCTTGTTTGAAATACAGAAATCTTTTTTTTTTTAAAACCTACCAGCTTGAGCCTTTGTGACACACAGATAATTTCTCCCAAGCACTCCCATACAATGACAAAGACTAAACACTTGCCTTCTTTAACAGCAGCTGTGCTCCTGGTATTGTCTCCTACTTCTACCAGATGCGGTTCTAGAGAAAATACTAAGTTCCATTAAGATTCATAATAAAAATCAAGTGGAGAAGCAGCAATACTGGAAGACTCGAAGGCTGCTTCAAAAGTACCTTCATAAACCAGTGTATCTTCAGTTGGACCTATACTACCACTGACATTGCTACCAAGTACTTTGAAAGTGATTAGACTCTACAGGACACTTGCTCGCAGCAATAATAAAACACAATGCATCAAAAAGCTTACTTCAACACATGGTTTGTATCTACACTTTGTGGTGTGGCAAAGCGTGACACATCATGATATTCCTGCTCCTTTCCTTGATAGGGAACTGTGAGGGCAGATGCACAGACCTTGAAAATTTTCCCTAGGAGCACATCCTCAGATAACAAATTTATATGAAAATGCTTCAAAAAACATGGGAATACCTATCCCTGATCTCAGTTAAAGCTCCCTCCTTGTACAAATTCAAATCCTGAAGCAAGAGTTAATTAAAATATTTATATTAGGTATATTTAAAAAAAATTAAGCCAAGAGTGTGTAACTGCAGCACAGCTGATTGCAGAGCAGATATAGCAGTCAGAGGAGCAAGTTTGTGAAGACCTTTTTTAAGTGCTTGTAAAATACTGCAAATATATTACAGAAAAAAAGGGACAAGTGGACTAAGCTACTAAATTTTCATGATGTCCCATGAAAACAAAGAAGAAGGGATTTCTAGAAATTTGAAAACCAACTGCCTAATTCACTTTTAAATAAAAAGTGGAAACAAATCAAGGGAAAAAAATTCTCCCAGTTGAGTCAGTAACTTTGAAGTTGGCATTCATGAGCATACTTCCAGGTGGTCTTTGGAAACTGAGCTTGTAAATACAGAAAGGTTCCCGTAAATAATGAAAAGATACAACTGAGGCTTATGCATAGGATAGTTAGGTTTTCATTTACTCATCTACACATACAAACTCAGAAGTATTCTGAACACCTCAGGTTTAGCTATTTGTCTCCTGATATTCCTGTAAGGGTATTGGGATATACAGCTACTGTTCTTTATACCAAAGGAAAAATACCAAGAGATGTTCAAAAAGGAAAAACATCATACATTAAGAATGGACATTGGGATCTTTATGGTGTGCCATGGCACTAAAATACTACTCTGCCAGCATATGTGCCACGGGTTATTCTGATGCCCATACAAGCAAGGGCAGCAAGTTTTGTTCTCAGCTTTAAATCAATAGATAAAAAAGTTATAGACTAACTGCAACAGCATTGGATCTTGAATTGATTTGAAAATAAAATCAGCTCCCTGTGTAGCTTTTGCATTCCTGCTGTAATCTGTGTCTGTAAACATGCAGCTTGTCTGAGTGAGGCTGCCACTTCTACAACCCTTAATTCACACAGAATATAAGGAAAATCAGATTTTAATTTATTGTTTTATATATATATATGATTATATATATATATATATGCAGAGTTGGCTGAAGTTTACATAAACACTCCCAGCATTTTTATGACAATCTAATTGGAGTACAAGACAATTCTGCAGCCTGTTTCAACTGGTGACTAAAACACTGGAATAACACATTCCTGTGAGTTGTTCTTTTGGAGGGCTCAGTTGTGCAGCATTTCTGACTTAGGATGCTTTCTCACCTCACACAGTGCTCATCGCTTTCAGGAACTGGCAGAACTACCCAGCATGGTGCAGAACTCAACCTTTCAAGACTACCAAAGCTGTGTTACAGTACGGCATCAAGGATGCCCCAAACTAGAGACTAAAACTCACAGCAAAGACTTCTCACATGATGCAGTCAGGTCAAACAGACACACTGCAGGGTATTAACACACCTAAACTCCAACACGTATTTAAGGTATTAAATTAGCAGGCTGGGTTCTCTCAGTTACAAAATCACAGAATGAGTAAGGTTGGAAGGGACCACAGTGGATCATCTGGTCCAACATCCCTGCTCAAGCAGGGTCATCCTAGAGCACATGGCACAGAATTGCATCCAGACAGTTCTTGAATATCTCCATGGAAGGTGACTCCACAACTTCTCTGGGCAATCTGTTCCAGTGCATGGTCAGTCACACAGTAAAGAAGTTCTTCCTCGTATCCAGATGGAACTTTCTGTGCATCAGTTTCTGCCCATTGCCTCTTGTCCTATTGCTTGGCACCACCGAGAAGAGCCTGGCTCCATCCTCATGTCAATCACCCTCCCTTCAGATACTGATAGACATGGATGAGGTCCCCCTCAGCCATCTCTTCTCAAAGCTGAACAGTTCTTAGTACAGGTAATTGCAAGGGACAGAGATTATTCAAGGTGCTTGAAACTCAACTCCTGTTCCAGTGTTATCAGCTCCCAGAGCTTTCTCATGAGTCTGTGATGTATTTGTGAACAACCTCGTTCATTTAATAGAGCAGTGTTCCAGACCTTGTGTTTCAGAAGGAAACTTCCAGAAAATCGCGTTCCACATTTACCCCAAAGGCTCAGAAGAAGAAGCAAGAATTTATAATTTAGAAGAAATTTAAATAACCTCATGGATTTTCTTGGGGAGGGGAGGAGTGAGGTTGTTGACTCATGATCATTTTTTTAATACTTGTGGCTGGCTGTGCTACATAAATAAATCAATCCCCTAGCCACACAGCTCCATTTTTCCAGTCACAGCTTGTTGTTTTATTTATTTTTTTCCCTCCACTGCCGACAGATCACTCCAGGGAGTTTCTAAACCCAGTAGTCTACTTTCCAAATGGAAACTATTAGTATAATTTGTGAGAGAGAAAGCAAACAACAACACAGACTTACCCCATTTTTTGGGTAGGCTATCCATCCTAGATCCCCCATTACTGTACGTGAGTCCAGCAAATTCACTGAAAATAAGAGGAAAAAAAACTGTTAAGGAAGATGGACGGATTACAAACTTGAGTAGATATTTCAAGATATGGGTGACTATGGCTAACAGATTGTTTATAATTAACCAAGGAAGCTGGATTTTTGTAAAGGAGAATAACAGTGCAATAACTCCTCTAACGATGAGGTCATACACTGAAAACAGTTCTATGTATGCATTAGTTTATTCCTTTGAGATCTGACACTGAAAGCAAGTTTCAAATGCACTGAACTTCTGTAAAAACCAGATCCTTTAAATTCTTAGGATCTGATCTCCTCGAGGGAATAAATACACAATACACAAAATGTGTTTATGTGCATATATTAGACATACAGTATATAGGCATAAATATATGCTCACAAACATCTGAGCATGTTTATACATACATTTCTTCTAATGTGGCGTGTATTTTTACCATAATCAGGCCTTTAGGACAAAAACAAAAACAGAAACAATATGCAGAGTTTCTTGATTATCATGAATTATTTTTTAAAGTATTTTATATTCAAGTATTACAGTATTAATCTTATCAAGAATCTATTCTTTTCTCCCTCTTCCACATTTTTCCCTCCAGTCTTTGACATCTTCATTAGAAGATGTCCAAGGTATCTTTTTTTTTTCCCACACACAAAAATTCATAGTAGCTTTGTTGAGTCACATAAGCAATCCAAAGTTTGCATTAAACAGCAAGAAAAACCTATTCCAAACATTTCCCCCCTCATATTACCTGAAATACTGAGTAAGAAGTGTGAAGTAACTAAATCTACACATGCTTAACTCAGCTAAGAAAAACTGTAGCAGCCTATGGTGCTGAGCTTTCACCTTCTGTACCCAGGGCTTAAAATCTACAAATTAAAAGCTTGTCTTTGAATCATCAACTGTCATCCAAAATCTCAACCTAGAAGCAAATTTCTTCTACCTTAAAAGCACACTTCCTCCTCATTGGATTACAACACTCTCTTCTATGAGTATATTTGTCTGCCTAATATTTCACTTTTTGTACCCAAGTCCTTCCTGAAAAGGGTGTGATTTTCCTGGGTCTTCAACTCCTGACCTCCACCCTGTGTGCTCCTTAAAAGTCCCACTGGAAGTTTTGGTAATTGGACTTTCAAGACTTTCTAGCCTGTGATTACCTAGACCAAGAACAAGCTCGAAATGGGTGGAGGAGGCTTTGTGTTCACTCTTTTAGAAATGCAACTGTCTAACTATTTAAAGGTTGCTGGAGAAGAGAAACAAACAGGTTGCATGCACAAATATGAAGTATGCAAGCATCATAACCCTCAGGATTTTACCATTTATAGAGTCATAGTAAGAAAACCCAGAAGTACACTATACTACAAAGCATGCTCCTTTAAAATATTAAAGAATATTTAAAAGCAAATAAAGATTAAACAACTGATTTATTTTGAAAAAAATATAGTTCTCTAAATCAGTTTAGTCTTTATCATTGTGCTGTACTGAAGGCTGACTATGGTAGTTTCTGTACACAAAATCAGGCCAAAACACAGGAATACAACACTGATGTGGAAAAAAAAATCAGTTCTCAGCTCTGGCAAACACTTATGTTTAAAAAGATTTGTCTATCCAGATATTTTCACAATATATGCAAGTATTAATGCAGGACACTGTCACAGGGGATTTATGTTCTGCCTGGTCATCTATATTTTCCTGATGTTGAACAAAATACATTTGGTAGCTCAGTGTTTTCATTCCTAGATTGCTTTCTCCTGCCAAAAAAGAGAACAGTTTGCAAGCTGTCAGTGCTACCAAACTGCAGTACATGTGGTGGAAGCAATACTCAGAGACTACACTGAACTACATTCACAGTAAGTAAACATACAATCAGGTGGCTTTCCACTCAACAGTCTATGCAAAATAAAAGTATTGCTAACATCTACCACTAGGTATGTCACCCAGTGATGACCACTCTTTCCCCTCCTGAAGTCTTCAGGTAAAATGGTCATTAATTTCTCCTGCTCCAGCTGAAGTCAAGCACTAGTATCCAAGTGCTCCTGAACTGCACTTCATTTTCTTTTCAATGGGATACCAAGAGTGACCTTAAAATATTCTTCAAGATAAAAAACACATAAATAACATTCCCTGTATTATAAATGTATACTATTTTAAAATGCAAGAGACAGGAGTGCAGTGGTAAAAATGGCAGATTTACTCAAATTCCTTCTGTTACAATCACTGTAATTAAACTGTGCAGAACAGTATATTCGTGTTGTTAGGCTGCAATGGATGCAAAACAAGTATTGATCTACATTGTACAACTTAATTAAAATTTGTCCTGGAGATGCTACTAATGAATGTAATTAGATGCTGTGTTTGATGTCACAAGCTTCTTCATGACATGCTAATTAAGGAAAAAAGCAGAAAAAGCACTTTATTCGAATATCAGATCATAAAAAGAACATGATACAACTAAATATTGTATTATCTTTCTATCAACGACAATTTTTAAATTGCTGTTATTAACTTCAATTTCAAAATAATTTTCTGCATATGAAAAGATAATACAACCCATTCCATGCTAAGTCAAGTCAGTGGGAATTTTCCAACGAGTGAGTCAGCTAGCAGAGTTGAATACTAAATCCCCAGTTAGAAAAGACTCACTTCCTCTCTTATTTTAGAAGCATTCTGCATAGAGCAAAATACATAGGACAGAATACACCTTTCGACAGGCACCACACAGTAACCCAAAACTCTCACGCCAGGAAGACAAGAGTGACAAGTGACTTTAAGCTGTCACTGTACCTGGGCTTCTTCGGAGATCAGAGGGGCACCCACCTCATCTCAGACAACTCTGAGGGGCTTCTGAGGCACAGCAGACACTGCCTGCCACGTGAGCATCGGCCCAGGACTGCTTTCATGGTATATCATCTAAAACACCGCACTGCATTGATCTGCTCTGATGAACATATTTAGCTAGTATGCTAAATTGCCTGCAAGGACAGAAATTTTTTGCTTTAAGGAGCACCAAAAGTCTAGTGTCTGCATCTCCCCCACCAGCATCCTACCGAGTCATTTCCAGTGCATCTGACCTTTACTTGCATCATTTTCAACGTCACAACCCCACCCTGATGCAGTCTTGAGCCAGGCCAGGGCCCAGAATCCCCTCTCCAAGGGGGTGGTTCCTCAAACAGCCCAGCTGCAAGAGTTCCCCGTTCAGATGCTCCTACCAACACCTTGGGAATGCTCCCTCAGGCAGCCTTCCTTCCTGCACTGCCAGACAGGTCACCAGCACAGTCCCACTACACAAGCCCATACAGGCTCAGCACCATCTCTCTCTTTTTGTCACCTTCCAGCCTGGCTGGAACATTATTTTTTCTGAAATGGCTTTCATCAAAGCACTGCAGATTGGCCAGGATGGGGAAGAAACAATGGGCAAGCAACAGGTAAAGAAGCCACCTGGAATAGAGGAAAACATTTTAGCAGAGACTTTATGGAAGGACTGCCACCATTCCAAACAGTTGCTTCTAAACTCACCATGGGGCTACTTGGGAAGAGATCAAGTCTTTTTGCACCTGAACAAACCCCCCTGAAACTGTGTTTCATTTGACCCACAGCAAGACTCAGAAATGAGACCAGAGGTCTTCTACAGAGCAGCAGAACCAGTTCCTCTCCATTCAACCTGTGATGACTGTAAGCATGTATTTGGCTGGGGCTGTCTAATAACCAAATAATCCAAACACCCAGGACATTGCAGGAGGTAATTCAGGAACACCTCCAATTATGTGCATAAGGATTCCGTATTTCAAAAGGTCTAGGGCCAGCTCCTGTTCAGCCTGGGACTCCTGGACCAGCCCCAACACTGCCTCCTCCACAGGCATAAGCCAGAGCTGTACTCAGGAGCACCTGGGATACAGGAGAGCTTACCCTGCTGAATAAAAGATAATCTCTTCAGAAATCACTAGCAACTCTGCTTAGCCCATGATCTTAAAAGCCTCCAAAATAACAGAACTCATTTATTCCCACTTCCTTTCTCCTCAACACCAGCTAGCTATATATTAACAAACAAGCAAGAAACCTCAGACCCCATAAGCATACACTTAGCACCTGTATCTTTGCCAGCAAACTTGGAAGAGGCACATACATTCAAAAATATTTTTTGCTCATCTCCACCATCAGTGCATCCATCCCATAAGCCCTAATTATTTCTAATGCTCAGTCAAGGGGAACACAAAACCACACAGATCTATATCATCATTAACTTCCATGCCTTCAGGGCAGGATAAATGATGATTAAGTCTAAAGTCATACCACAGCCCTTCTTTTTTCTTTTTTTTTTTTCTTTTTTTTAATACAGAATAATAGCCTGGGGAGTTTGCATACACTCTTGTTCTCAGACAGGCTGGTTACTGCAGGTGAGCAATCAAGATAGAATAAAACCTGAAGTGATCTAAACCTTTGCTCTGAACTCTAGCTGGTGAATTAACGGAGGCTTTTCACTAAGGAATCTTTGTCAGGGAGCCTGGATTTGGGTTTTTATTTAAATGTCTTTGTCATGTTCATACAGTCAGCATTTAGCACCTTCACCATGGCTACACAGGGACTGTGGCTGGAAGGAAGCACATAAAATGCCAGGGCTGATGGCATTCAGCATTCACCTAAAGCAACATTGCTGCTCACACAGCAGAGCTCCCCATCTGACACAGCCACCTAAAACAGTGCCATGTGGCAGGATTAGCTTGCCCAGGCGAAAGCATGACAGTCCTGTCATGATGGTACAATGCCTGCAGTAGAAGCCACCGATTCACGGATTTTTTTGATCATATCACTGAAGAGAGATGGCTCCTCTGGCTCTGGACTGGAGCAGAATCAGCTGGAGCATCTTTTTTCTTCACTCCATTTTCAAATGGGAAAAAAAACAAGATAAAAAACAAAAATCCCCCACCAACAAGCTACAACACTGAGTATTTCTGATCCTACCAGCCACACATCCTCCTGCTATTTCAATAACTAAGGATCTTCCAG